GGAACATTTATCCCATATGGATAAAAAATACCTAAATTTTACATTGTCATGAGAAACAAAAGTCTTTGTAATAAATATGCATGGTGTTTTCCACAAAGCAAACAAATATTAATCTAGATACTTTAACGTGAATTGTACTCGTCTAAATATTTACTGACCTATACTTTTTGAAAATTGAACATATCAGTTATAATATATAGTATGCAAATGAAAGAGACAGAATGAGTTGGAATGACTCTCCAGGAAAATAGAGGGATTGCTCGCAGTCTAGGTGTAGACCTTCTAGATTTCAGACTGGCCCCCCTTCTAGATTTCAGACTGGCCCCCAACTAAAGTAGAAAATCTATAGTACGTCCTTTGAAAGATAGTTTGAAATTATTTTCATATTTAAAACTCAGGGTTTATTAATTTCAACTACACTTTCATCTGGCCTTTATATTTTAAATTTGCCACCATGACTCCATGAGTTTCATAGCAAAATTATATGCAAACATTTTCCTTCCTCAGCCCAAGGCGAGTTCAGGATATATTTTCACATAAATCTTCCAACTCTTTTACCTGTATGATTGCATTGTATTCTATTCCACATGACACATAAAATATCATGCTTGCATGACGTCCGCCAGAAGGCGAACTTCCATAGTTCCACACATTGCATTTCTGTCTTTGTCGGGCTATAAGATATCCTTTTGACCATAACAAGATTTATTTGCATTAATCGTTCAGTGCATGCTGTACAAAAACATTCAAAAAGAAATCAGTTCTAATCCATACTTCTTAGTTCTGTGGCTAGTATTCTACTATTCTGTGGCAGTCTTGGCACTGTTGGCAGAGTTTCTATGGTAAAATTCTTGAATTTTCCTCAAAATTTAGGGTTATTTATGGATAATTTGGGTAAATATTGGCAGGAGTATTATGGATAATTTGGTAAAAATTGGGCAGCTCATTGATACCCAAGCGAGTAAAAAGGTGTGGTCAGAATGTGCATATACAAATGGCATGCTATTACTCATATCCGTGACAGTGATTGTCGTCGGCTTGTTATTTGGTTGCCATTCGTACTTGACTGTTATCGGTCGAACAACATGGGAACACATGCCTCTCAAGATCTTTAAAGAGGGGTAAACCATTCGAAGAGGGATATTTTTAAAATGTGTGCACGTTCATGTGTCATTGTCGTGTACGCAAATGGGAAAAGTCTTTCAAAGAAGTAGTATTAATTTAGAAGTATGAGAATATTTCAAGAAAAAAATGTCTTGCAAATCAAATACTTCTCATTTTAATTCTAATTAAAATTAGTTTCTCATTTCAACAAATATTTTCTTAAAGTAAGAATTGTTTTCTCAATAAGAAATTATTTTTTGCTGTGTAGTTGCAGATATATGGACAGACAATTGGCATATATCTGCAATTTTTATGCAAATATTTTGCAGATATTTTGACAGATAACCAACATATCTGCAACTTTTTTTCAGATACTGTAGACCTTGTTGCAGTTATGCTGCAGTACTGCAAACGGCTGAGAGCTCTGTTTGCCATCTAATAAATGGTGGTCCACCGGCAGTTATCAGATAAGTGTCAGCAATTCTCAAATGGACCTTTCACCTTTTGAAGTTGTGGTAAATTCCAAGAATGTTTTGCTATCTTGTTGTAAATTTTATGTATAAATAGAATACCAACACGAATATTTACGAGTTTCCTGGAATAGTACTTGATTTAGTACAGACGTAAATTAATGGTTTAGAAATTTTGGAATGGTATGAAACTTTTTACAATCTTCGAGTAAGTTTTAAATCAAATACGGTAAACTATCTAAACTCCAAGAGGTTTTACCAGCGAAAAAAATGCCCGTGATGGTTATCCATTATGACCTATCACACACATCCGGCCTAAAATGAGATATTTAATTTAATGAACATTTAATTTCATATGCATAAGTATATATGTAATGCACGAAAGATATGTTACTTTTAAAGTATATGCTACATCTATATTATATATACATCGATCTATTTATTGTGTGTTTAAATCCTGGAATCAACACACTAAACCTTACGATTCTATGCTCTAATAAAATCTTTGGGGAAATATATAATCAACGGGCTTAAGGCTTGGAAGTGCTTAGGTCACCTAATTTTCAAACAATGAATTGACCCCAAGGTATCCTACAATGCACTGTGCATTCCAGACGTCCCCCGTATTCAAAATTGCGTGACGTAAGCACTTCCAAGGTCTATTTAACCTAAAATTGATGTACAATGTTCATTACGGTCATTACGATTTACAAATTTTGTGAATACATGATCACGTACGCAGTTTTGCTGAAAATGTACATTTTGATTCACTAAATGTTAGATAGTGCTCAACAGCATAAAATAGATCAAACAGTAGGTTGGCTTACGACAAAATGTAGAGTAGCCTTAATTCTCTCGCCTGAAAACCCAACCCGAAACGACTGCATGGTTGCTAGCCTGCGTCACAGAATATAGACCTTATAGAAGGCCGACTCAGCCAAAGCGTAACCTCCGCCACGTCACGTCATGACGGTCATCAAAATGCACTGGCCATGTTTCTAACCAGTGCGCTTACGAGAGGCATTCACCCCCCTGAACGTCTGCCATTTTGAATCTTTTCAACGGTCACGGCAAAATATTACCATCAAAATATAGGCAAAAGCATAAGTCGGCCTTAATTCTGCGAGTCCCATAAGGTCTCTATTCTATTGGTATCCAACGCTGCCAACCTATACCATATTTGCACTATCATGCATTATTTATTTATTTATTTACACTTTGTCTCTCAGGCTTGGAGCCCGCAACAGCTAAGGCTATTTGCTGCGGGTCCATTACATGTATTACATCGTACTAAATATCGTACGAACTGAAAACAAATACGCTTAAGTACTAGCAAAGTTATTAACGACTATATACAAACCAGGAGACTACACTTAATGTGAACTGTCTTCCATGTTCTGCATGGTAATATTCTCTCAATAAAGATTTGAAAGAAGACAGAGACATTGTGTTTCTTCGTATATCTTTAGTCGGCACATTCCATACTCTTTTTGACCGAACTAAGTAAGACCTAGCATTCAGATAATAGTGAGGTTAAGATACCCCGGTTCCGGTTTACGGGTACGACTTGCAACTTAAGAAATCCAAGATATTCCGGGGTACGAAAACTGATCGGAGAATGCTAACTTTCGTTGTTGAGCTTCACCATAGATTTGGGAAAACCGACGAGCATATATGCATTGATTTATTTAGGTAAGATGTTGAAGTATTTCACTACTTAAATGGCCTACAAATAGCAAGCACTAAACACCAGTATCCGCTTCTCTTTTACGTGTAGACCATGGTTTACCGCGGGGAAACGGGTAAAAATTTAAACATGCTGACATACTGGTAAACAAAATGGTGATGTTCGTACCTGTAGAACGGAACTGGGGTATCTTAATCTCTCTATTATATATAATATATGACATAGTCTGAAAACTCGCCAAAGTTTTTGTTCAATCTTTTTGTTCATATTTATGCTAAGTTGAGCATGGTTAAGACAATAAACTATAAGCATAATAAAGCAACCATCCAATACTCAAATAGCATCGCCTCGCTGAATCACTCAAGCTACTGCTGAAATATTAATAATAAAAATTTCAAAAGATTCGTGCATGGCCATTTAAACATAAAATAGTAGCTCATTACGAACGCTTTGAAGTTTGTCGAGTTTCCAGACCATGCATGCCTCAATTCACTGATGCATAATTCTGCGTTCACAAAGATCTCTGATTTTATTGGAAGTTTGCACGCACCAATTTTTCAGTGATCAATCCTTGCAGTGATTTGCTCCACGAAACCATTTCAAAGAATTTCCATTTCCGGGCGAGATTTTCACTTTTCTTAGAGTATTTAAACGCCTCTCGCAAAAAGCGCATTCTTTCTTTAGGTTGGTTTTCCGAACGTCGGAAACGATAAATCGATTTGACCAGGTTGAGCTGGACGTCGCGATAATGTGTGGGTTTGCGCTCTGATTTCTCAATGGCGATTATACTAGAGTTGGCCTGCTTCAGACGGCTGTCGTTAACATGTTTATCGACCAACTCTCCAGAAAGGTGACAGCCAAGGTAAAACGTCGCAAGATTTATATGAGCCTTGTATTCCAGATCTGCGCGTTCCTCGGGACAATCCGACATAACTTGTTGGAGGTGTTGCAAAGCGTTGTGTAAGAGCACATCCGGAGCACTCGAATGTACATCAAAAAGGTGCATTATCGCCCCTGCAAATAAATATACTAGCGCTGTAACTAAACCTGGTGAAAGCAGTTCTGCCTTATCCAATGCACCTACCAATAAAACGCGGATAGGGTCAAAATCTCCGTTAGGTCGAGTAACCTCAACACGTTCACATAGCCCTAGCACTTCAAACATACGATGTTCCGTTGCATTTGGTAGGAGTTTGTCGTACTCGTCCAGCAATTTATCTGCTGTCTTAAAATGCTGTTTTCGGGAATGCGCTATAATTTCCTTCAACAACACAACCAATTGAAGCTCGACAATATCTGGAAACATTTGTTTAATTGTGTCCGACTTATCCTGAAATCCTTTCAAATCCCCGCCATTGTTTAAACAATTCGCTAGAATACAAAATGCTCGAGTACAAAGTTTTTGAGTCTCTTTTGAAATCCATGTAATGCTTCTGCCCATTGCGTAGGGGACGAACCCAACCTCGACAGGTCCCAAAATTCTTTCCTTCCAAGTAGCAATCGACATCTTCTTAACTTCCCCCTCCACCATTTCATAACATTCTGGTTCCTCGGTGAACACACCACCAAGACAAGGAGCGATATAGATCACGATCACAAAGGTTGATGGAATAGGCTTGGAGTTTTCATCTAGCACTGGCTCGAACAAAATATTCCAGTGTTTTCCTCGTTTGGGTTGACCGATATGCTCAGGCCATATCATCTTCTTAATGGCTTTCTCGACTTTCTTTATTATTTCAATGATGTCTTCATTCGGGATCTTCTCTCCCGCAACAACGCCATCGTCTGTGATACCATAATAAATGTGACCTCCGTTATGGTTGGCAAACGCAGAGACGTAAACAATTAATTTGTTATTTATCATACGCTGTACCAACTTGGTGCAATTTTTAGCACCAGCTTCCAATAACTTAAGTTGAATTTGCTTGTCTTCCGTAAGATTACAAAACGTGTGTCTTACAAACGTTTTGTGATGTGAACCGAGCTGGACTGGTTGATAAACGTGCCGCCTGGTCAAAATATTGTCCTTGATATTTTCTGTGGATGGAACTGAAAGTACTTGTGTTGTACTTGGTAAATACAGGTTGTAATGAGTTGTGATGAAAAACTCACTTTTCTTAACTGTGCACACGACACAAGTGTAAACAATTTTTGCGTCTAAATTGAAAACAGTCATTTGCATTCCAACGATATTTGTACACGATTGTTCGATGATTCGAATGAATGAATTAATACGTTTTGTGGCATTCTTTTGCACTTTATTAAAATTGAACTTAATTTCTCCACCACTGCCATTCATCAGCGCACAAAGATAAGCAACTATTTCCTTCAGCATTCGTTCTTTGTACTTTTTATCGGAAGGAAATTTCCCTAAGTCGATGTAAAGCTCCAAGGGATCCATGTCATCCGAAAACGTGAAGTACAAAGACTATATAATCGAAAGCCAGCTACTCCACCTGAGTTGTTAGTCAATAACGCCTATATAATGTTAAGAGAGGAATCGTATGTAAGAACCTACCGATAATCCATGAGAACGTTGTGAGAAAAAGGAAATTTTCTCAGTTCAATTCCAAAACGGAAGTTTTGTTTCAAGCGGAGTACTGTTTAGTTTATTTTCGCTTTTTTTTAAAGGTTTTACTCACCAGCAAGGCATATTGTAACATACATACCTTACCCTGAATTACCTGCTTATCAGACTTACGCCGTTTACGCAGCCTGCACTGCAGGCTACTGGGTGGCAAACAGAAGTACCACAGCAGGAGAATTATGCAACATTTTATACAGTAAGGAAGGAAGGGGGATAATCAAGAGGGATAATTGTCAGCCAGAAAATAAAGTTTTCATTACTGCCACGCCCCTCGCCTTTGGAACAAAAAATACACTGTTTTTCTATGAAATCTGCCTGCTAACACATGCTTTGCAGAAGACTTGATAAAACTCATTATCTATGTTGGTCGACACCGCTGTTAAACGTCTGCGTATTGATAACTTGCGTTATGCTCTATTTTACAAATAGAACTCGGGGGCGATTGCTTTATAGTTTTACATGATTTAGTATCCAATCAAAATGTCCCAGAGAAAATGTCAATTTCATATAACAACAAGGAAGAAGTTATTTCGCTGGCTTCAAAATGACATGACGTCATTGTTAGCGATCGTAAGAACTTACGAAGTTCCACGAAACCCATATACGAGCACCGGACAAAATTCAAGTTCTAGTCTGCTCTTATAGTAAGCATAACTTTAACATACCTTTTTGAAACACTTATAATAATAATTGAAGGGTCTTGAAATGCTGACAGCTGCGAAAAATGCAACCATATGTCCCTGGCAGGAATCGAACCTGCGGTCCTGCGATTCCGGTGCAGCACTCTAACCAACTAGTCAATCTAACCAACTAGTCAATCTAACCAACTAGTCAATCTAACCAACTAGTCAATCTAACCAACTAGTCAATCTAACCAACTAGTCAATCTAACCAACTAGTCAATCTAACCAACTAGTCAATCTAACCAACTAGTCAATCTAGTGACATGCCAACAAAATCTTGATATTATAATAATAATACCAATATGTAATACCAATATGTCACACCAACAAGAAGAAAAAAGACGAGACACTGGGTTTTGGTAAGAGACCATAAATCATATTATATGTCTAAGGGGAGCAGTTTAAAAAAGAGGGGTAACAATGTAATATTTTGCATTGAAGTCTTTTGGATTGAAATTTGTGGTATAATGTGTCACGGAAATACTACAGTATTTTCACAGTCATTGCCATTGGGATCTGGTGTTGTACAAACATTCAGGGCATTTTTTGTACTATTTATAAATACAGTCACTCCTGCTCGTTAAATTTATGGTCAAGAACCTCATCTATGTTATCCTTGTTAAGACTACAATTAAGTGCAAAATGAGACTTTTTGCATATTCGTCCATTGCCCCGCCCCCCTTATACTTGTTGAGAAAAATGTTTGAGCCACTGGTCTGTCTCTATACCTTGTTTACAACATTGTAACTTTTGCACGCACAAGATTATAGCACCTATAAATTAAAAACATTCTCGGTGACACCAGGAAATTTTATAACATAAATTTTATGTGTTCTGAGTCAAATTCTGAGCCAAGCCCCACCCCCCC